GCCGACCAAATTTGTAGGGGTCAGAACGGATTAACTTTATTTACATTGAACCTTATGGGAAAATTTGATTCGGCTCGCAACCAAAATCGGTTGCCGACCAAATTTGTAGGGGTCAGAACGGATTAACTTTATTTACATTGAACCTTATAGGAAAATTTGATTTGGGACCAGAGTCGTGGAACGAATTAAGTTCGTGACCCGAGGTACCACTGTATTACATGACAAAATGTCATCCAGCTCATTCTGGATAAATAGCATTAAACCAGGCATGTTTTCCTTAACCATGAAAAAAAAGTTGCCAACTCCTTGGTATCAAAGTCACAATAAGTAAGCAAAGGACTTACTGGAAATCATACATCTATTTCCTAATTGCCAGGGGCAGAAGTCATGCCACGAATGATCAAGGCCTATTTGGTGAAGAATTGCAATGTCATAATTAATCACAGTTAGGATGGGTAGAAAAGTGGGATAACTCCCACAGAATCAAAATTGCTGAGAGTACTGTGTAAATCAACAGCAGCCACTTTCTCTCAAATCATTAGCTTGCCCAGAAACCTTTTAAGGCCTTCCAGAACATAATCTATTTATATATGCTTAAACTTTGAAAAATTAAAAAGAAGTGACAGAATATTGGGATGGCGTAGCCCCAGATGTTCTGTGGCACGCAAAGCTTTCGTTCTTCATGCAATTCACAGCCGTGAAAAAGTCCCAGGGACGGAGCAATATATCTTTCTGGTTGAAGAGAAACCTGGTGCCAGCGCCATCATATCCCTTGACATCTAAGAAAAGAGATGTCTAAACATAATGGCCACCAACATTTTCACAATGCAATTTCTATTTATAAAGATATCAGAAGGCTCTATGTTGTTCCAACCTTTATAACTGGGAGCAGAGCTGACACAGAATTATTTGAGGATTCCTAACAGCCCCCTGATAGCACAAATTATGTTGCATTTACTAAACTTTGAGATAATGCATCATCATGAATACTGAGAGATGCTCGACTCCAAATCGGGCTCCAGCTATTTCATTCTCTGAGGCAACTGACAATAGACCACCCCCACTGGACACTCATGAAATTCCACCCAGAGACCTCTACCAGCTGAACCTTGCTTTAACACTGGTGAAGAGCAACATCCTTCCTTGCATCAGAGAGCAAAAGGCTGACATGGAATGGCTCGCTTGGGCATGCACTGCTGTCCCCTCTATTCACTCCAGGCTCACTTTGCCTAACAGCAGTTGGACCCCGAACAGAAAAGCTTGGTTGCTCTAAAATGAGGCTAAAAGAAACACAGTACATGAAAAGAACCTTTTGAGCAGTCAAGAAAGTGCTCCAAGAAAACTCGTGTTCTGCTGGCAACAGACTAGTTGGGAGAGGAAAAGGGAGAAAAAATGGCCATTTTTTTTTTTTTATGTTTAACTTCCCTCCCACTGCTCTCTGCAAGAGCAACAGGGCCACCCACCACTGCCCAAAGCTCAAATTGACTACCATTGTAATCCTATACAATATCAACCACCAGTTACTACCTCTGGTGGATCGTAGTCCAAGAAAACCTGGACATCTGTTATGTTCTCAGGTGCCACAAACAATTGTTATAAGGAGAGAAGCGCTCCCCCAAGAGTATCTGGCTGGGGATCAAAGTACTGTATCTGAAGCAGGCTGTAAACCACGGAAGTTTACGTACTACCGTACATTTAGTAGTTGTTCGGGAGCTGCAGGGCTTACTCCGTTCACGAAGTGTCGAACTCCAGAGGGCTGCAAGTACAGAAGCATAAGAAAGCGGGCGCCTCTTATTTCTCCTCAGCCTTTGAAGAGAAAGCAAGACTCTAAACTCTGAACTTCAGCTACCAGCTGCCCTCCAGCCACGGCGGGAGTCCACCGCCCAGGATTTCCAGTCAGCGCGCTGGCTGGCGATTCTGGGAGATAACGAGCTTGTCGTGGCTTCGCCGCCGCCTTTCCACCCGCTCCCCACGCGCTGCCGCCATCTGCTTCCCTCCAGACCAGCCGCGCAAGTCTGCTCGCGAGGCCCGCCTCGGCGCGCTCAGTGAGCACCCGCGGCAGGACTTGAGGGGATAGAAGAAGAGAGTCTCCACGTGCACCAGTTTTCTCCAGCCTGGGGGCCCGCGCCCGGCCTCAGCGGTCCCCGGGGTCAAAACGGCCGCGGAAGCGCCGAGTCATGCAAGGCGAGAGCGAGGCCCCCAGCCAGGCTCCGAGCCATACGCCCGGGGCTGTTGAGGCGACGTATCGCAGAAGGTCAATGGGCCGCGCAGCTTCCCCAATTCTGCTGCTGTTACCACCGATTTCTGGCTTCCTGCATTTATTGTATGTAAATGCCTTTATTGTATTGTATGCGAATGTTTCCCTGGGAACCCACCTCTTCGTTTCTAGGCAGCTCTGGAAAGCCCTTTTGAAGCAAGCTTTTCTACCGACTCCCAAAGTCTGCAAGAAGTCGAGCATCATTCTGCTTCCCAGAATTACTACTCAGGTGTGATTGTGGGTGTTTTAAATATTACTATATTTTTGCAACTACTCTTGATTCTCTTGTCTAACAAAGCATGTTGAAATAATGAAGGATAATGTTCATATAAAGGTTTCCGTACTGGGTGCGGTGGATCTGCCCTAGTTTTGTGATTGCTGCATTCTCCTCAGAGCTGTCCTTACAGATCCACTTAGCAGGAGATGAAAGCCTCTTTCCCTATCCCGGCATCAAACGCAGCTCCCCAGCTGATGCTGCAGTGTTTGAGTTAGATGCATTTCATCCCTGTTGAGGTTTCCAGCACTGGTGGCTTTAGGGGAGCATACTGGCCCCAACTCCAAGGGCCCCACATTTTAGGAGGTAGCAAAATGTTGTATATTTCTTAATGGGCAAAGGTTTAACAAATATGAGCTTGTGTTACCCATAGTAAAAAGTGTTTAGAATGTATTTACTTCTTGCATTCATTAAAGGTATTTTTCACTTCTGAAATATAAAATATCTTTGCATAATTATATATGAAGCATTGCTTAAGGGTTTTGTAAATGTCAAAAATATTCCCATGGCCACCTTTTTTATCAGTTACTAGTTAATTCACAGGAATTAACCAGTTAATTTTTTATTTTTCAATGTCTAACTTTAGGTTTTTTAAAACTTTTTGGAACAAATTACCATTTTTTTAAAAAAAATGAAATCCAATAAAGCTTGATCTGGCAGTAGTGTTTGTAATATTCCCATATGACTGGCCTTTACAGCTACAAGTTTAGTCACAGGGACACAGAAGTATGTATCTTCTTTTGCTTGATTTTTACTCTTTTCTGTCTTTGCTGGTGGAAAAGAGGCAAAAGAGCTCATATTTATAGACAAAGATAGCTGTTGGTGTATGACTTTTTATTTTGAAAGATTAGAAGTGTAATACATGACATCCTTCAGACAAGGAAAATGGAGATTTTTTTTTCCCACCTAAAAATGCTGAATTGTTGCTGTGTCCATAATATTGCTAGCTGCTAAGAAATAAAAAAGCTGAAAATGTTGCCAGTTTGGCACAAAGGCAAATGCTTTGAATGCCTTGCACCTTGCCCAATCAATTAACTAAACTAAATATGTTGAGGTGGGTCAAAGCTTAGAATACATTTCACTGAGATAGTGGTATTTTGCAAGTCAGCTACGTCAGAGGTACACTACAACTATACCTTGAATGATATATTTGAATAATCCCTGCAGTTTTTAACAGACGTCTTAAGTCACCTGCCTTGAAAAAAATAGATACTTCACCAGATTGCCTTTTTAAAAAATAGATGTTTGGTGACTGAACACATCCACCTGAAGAGTTTTTGTGAACGACTAAGTCCTGCCCCCATAGGAGTTATGTTTTTAAAGGGCCCACTGCATGCTTTTAAAATTCCACATATGCCCTCCAGCTGAAAAGGACTGGAAATTCCTCCTGTAAAGGATTTTCTTTTCAATTTTACAGATGTTGATAATTCTAGGAAGCTCAAAATCTGTATCCTTGTTTTGACAAATGGTTAGTCATTAGTCAGTTAGCAATAAGTGATCCAAGCATGTTGAAGAGGATTTTCTTTTGTCTTGGCTACATGTTAAAATGCCAGATACTTTCATTTAGTCTTTTTATGAAATACAGTATACCCAAGCATATCCCAGAAATAATTTGTGTTTTGCATCAGTTTCCTCCATGTTTCTAAAAATAGCAGTGTATTCTATCTATATAATATGGAAAGAGTTTTATTCTCACTATCACAAGCTAAATATTCTGCAATCATGGTAAGACATGTAGCCTGTGGTGAATGGCCACACATCTATTGCATTAAGAATACTGATTGGAAAGGTCCTAACTCTTATTTGTTATTTATGCAATTTTCCCTTCATTCAAATTTTGCTTAAAGCAATAAAGGGACATATCTGTATGTTTCAACTGCGATGATGATGATGATAACAATGATGTGCCATCAAGCTGATGTCAACTCTTAGTGACCACATGTTCTTGACTGCAATGGAATTAGCAAACTAAATATCCAATTAACTAGGAAGAAAAGAAAAATGATCTTAAGAAAATGTGGACAGAATCTATATGCAGAGAAATTACACTCCACTGCACAGGTGCCTCCCATCATGAAATTATCTTGTATACAGGATCCCCAACTTCAAGTATTCCTGTTTCCTCAACTCCATATAGCCATCCAAAGGGAGGACTAGACTTAAAGTCATGTTGTTCAGAAGGATCACACTTGCGATAACTGGAAGCAAAGAAAAATAAATGGAAAAACAGAATTAGTTAGAAATTATTTTGGAATAAAATGGACCCTGTACATGCCAGGATGTAAATGAATAGTGAATTCCAATTTTGTAGTACTGGAGGTAATGTTTATCAGCAGTTTTATGATAGAAGAATTATTTATTAGAATAGAATGTTTTCATATAAAGATATCTGTCATGGTTTATAAAGATATATTAGTGTCACAGCCATATAATATGGAATTAAGTCAGGCATGCACAGAGCGAGAGAACAAACTGAAGCAGTTACTTGGTTTCTCTAGAATAAAACTGGATTTACAATTTTGCATAAATTATTAGAAATATTGGAGATTTAAGTGCCTTCTCAGCTGTTCCAGAATTATAACAGATTCGAAATCAGAAAGGGAAGAAGGTAAGGAACCAGTACAGGGAATGAAGAAAAAACCTTAAGAGGTATCAATTAATGGTCCAAAAGTATTTCATATTATAATAAGTGGGGGGGGAATTGTTTTGAAGAAACTAATTTATTTGACCTATGCATAACTGGACCTTAATCAATTAACTGATTTAGATGTGTACCATGTGAATCTGACCATCTAAAATTGTATGTGTGAGCTAGGTTTACTGGAAGGAGAGCTTAAGGTACTAAGGCATTTAAGACAGTAAGAGCGTTTCTGTCATATTTGTGGTGCTGGATTGTTTGTGTGTATAAGTTACTACTTTATGCTGAATGAGACATTTTGAGCCAGTACAGAGACACCCAAACATATAGAGAAGGAGCACTCATATATATTATCTGCTACCTTTTCAGGGCTTTCAGGACTTCCTTTTCATCCATGATCCCAGTATCTGGATCCACTGCTGTGAAGGTGCACCTACAGACATAGAAGTTATTAAATTTTAATTTCATTTTATAGTAGGGATGTCTTAAAAATTGAAATTATTTGTTTTGCGTGGGATCAAAAGACCATCAGTCTGCTCTCTTACCTTGGACAAGACATTTTTCCTTTCAACTTCACAGTTCCAATTAATATATCAACCCAAGTATCCTATATCAAAGAAATTGAATCCCATGAGATACTTTGCAGTTGCATTATTTAACTATTTTCCAATAATACATGTCAGTCCTAAAGCAACATTTCTGCAGAGTTTTCTTTTTAACCAATATACTCACAAGATCATATTTAAAAAGCTATTAATAGTTATTAATAAGTTAAACATCTCAATAAAATTCTTTTGAGGCATATTCTGCAGTAACATAAATTAGAATGTAGGTGGAAAAAAGCAGCAATTCAAATACACAGTAAGATAGACCCATAATACTTACTTCTTCATAATGACTACAACCTTTAACAAGAATATTCGGCCGGAAGATTGTTACTGAAGCTTTCTTTTCTAGCCTTGTATTTAGATCATCCAAGGAAGGTTCAGAAATCAGCAAGATTGGACTGCCTTCAGCATAGGCAACCTTTAAAAGTAAATACAAAATATGTCTGGCCTGGATAGTGGTCATAAAGATTGGCATTTGTCTGCAAAACAGATAATATCAGTTGCCATATCCTGATATAACAAAATACAATCTTCAGTTGTATGATACTCTTCATTCAGAAGAGCTCACTGCAATTTAATAAAACTCACTGTTTAATTTCAGAAAATGCTTTTAATTAAAACATGACATATCTATTTCATATTTTTAAATAATTATGAAAGTTCATACATTGCACTAGGCCATGATTTATTTAATTATGATTTGCTGAATACTGTAATCCTAATTGGCAGGTTTCACACAAAATGCTAAATCATAAATCATAGCTTGCAACCCACAATGGCTGAGTCACACTAAGCTGAAGCCAGACAGATCTCATGATGACTTTCTCCTATAATGACATTTTATTTTATTTTATTTTATTTATCTCTATGCCACCACATTCCTAAGGTGGTGGTGTAGAGTTAAAATGAAAACACAGTACAATAACTCAATAAATATTTAAAAACCAATAAAACTATTTAAAGATACACAGTAGTATTCCGAGAGCCATTTGTTATTAGAAGTTAAAATATGGATGCAAAGGCAAATAACTAAGGATATGTTCTAACCATAGTTACGAACTTGTAGGTGTAATTAAAATAGAAGTGAAAATCATAAGCTTAAAATCAACAGGATGTGAAACTGCCTTTTTTTCTTCTGTTTTCGATGTTGCAATTCATACCAGTGATTCTTCACCATGAATGTAGTCCCTTTGCTATCCAGTCTTGCTGGCTGAACTAGTAAAACATGTTTATTTTCATATGTAATCAAATAAGTTAAAAACGTACCTTAAAAATCCCATATTTTGGGCATTGTTCAATGTGGAATAATGTGAGAATATGAATGGGTTCCTCAAGACTTTGCAACTTTATAATGAAATCCCAGTGAGCCATTCTACATTAAACCAATGCCTTTTCTTCCAGTAACTACTAAGAATAATCATTTCATTTCTGTGACTCATCTTTATACATTAAATAACCACTTCAGCCTTATTAAAAATTCAAATACATTAGAATCTATTCTTTTAGCAACATGCATGATAATTCAGTGAATTAATTCCTGAGTTACTCTATTTAGATGTGTAGAAGAAAATAGGTAAAAGATATATTTACACCTGTTAAGAAGCCTTAACAAACAGGGACAATGAAGAGGAACATATGTTGGCTCCATTTCCCTGCCTTGATTAGATTTTTGGCACAGAGATGGTGCAAATTCTGCAGACATAAGATTTTCCTTGATTGAATTATATTTCTCTATAATGTCAGAAAGAAAGATGTACATAAAATGGAACATATGATTTATCCTGAACCAGGGCAAACAGTCATTCTAGAAGTTGTATGGGTCAGCAGAAATAAAACCCAGAATGTTTTGTTTGCTTCAGATTTTGGAGAAAACACAATTTGGAGGGATTCCATTGGGATCCTGAAGTGCTTTCATGTGGTGGGTAGGACAAACCTGATGGGTATTGCCTCTTCTCTCTCCTCAGTAGCTTCCAGGCAGCAATTCCACTGGTCCACCAGCCCCAAACAATCTTCCCAGATCCTTCTCTTCCCACTCTCCTCCCAGCTACTGTTGCCACACTGCTCCAGCATGGCAGCTGTTCTGAGCACAGAATGTTTGTTTATGTAACATTTTAAACTTCCCTATTCCGAACTGAAAGAAACATGAATTCCCAATAAGATTCTGGGAATTTTTTAGAGTCAGGATTCATTTTTAATGCTATTTCCTGGCCAGTTCTCAACATGCATTTTTAAACCATGTTCAGGAAGATGTATTTCTGAATTAAAGCAGGATACAAACCACCTGCATGAGGAAAGGAACTAAATAAGAGTCATCCATAAGGCCCATTAAAAAAGAAGGCCAAAAATTATCTAAACAAATACAGTTAATTTAATGAAATGTCAGGTC